ATATATTAATTAAAAAGCAATACTAACTTGAGAGAGTTTAAAAGGTTACGGAGTTCAATATTTTGCTGTTTTAAGTCATCCAGTTCCCCAACAGCTCTAGTGAGACGTGCAAGGACTTGTTCATCAGGATCAGTGTTGTGAAAAAGTGGTCCACTGATGACAATTATAATTACCAGCCAGACCAGCAGTAATCCTACAACAGCTTTTCCAATGCTGATTCCCATCCTTAATTATTAAACCTACAAAAATGAAATATCTCAAGCTTTCAGTAATCACCCATTTTGTACATGAAAGCTACTCAATATCTTACCAAATTAATATTTAGTTTCTTACCTATCTAACAAGTGTAAATAGTTTAAAAAATACAACTGTATTTTTGAATTAGTAAGTTCCTCATAAAGAAGTATAAAAGATAAATATGTTAAAACATCAATAAAGTAACAAAAGATGAATCAAAGTTAAACTAACATAATATTTCATATGCCAAGTGAGAAGACAAACAAACAAACAAGCTTAAGAAATTCTTTAACATACATGCATATGAAAACAGACTTACCCAGTCTACTATCCCTAAGTTAAGAAAAAAAAGGCTTGTATTTGTTGAGAGCATAACTAATCTGTATGTATTTATATCTAACAGTGGCAACTACTTTATCAGACAAGAAACTGAAAATGCCAATATGCATTACTTAACTTTTTTTACTAACTATTTAATGCCATACGAGCAAACTTAGATGTTATTAAACATTTGCATTTGAAATTCATCTAAGCAATAACTCAGTGACTCCAAAATATTCAAGAAACTACAATGTAACACTTGAAAAACACTTCTTATAGTGCTTCAAATAAATACTTTAATAAACTAGTAGGGTGAAGGAATTTGACACTTAAATCACTTCTTGGGGTTTTTGATCTTCACAGCTCATACAATGGTTATGAAGTTTGATTCAGTTTAAAAATAGCATCCCTCTTGCAAGGTTTGTATGTTTGTTCAATGTTAGCAATTCTCTTTTCTCTTCACATAATATCTATTATATGAAGGGTAGTCAAATGACCCAACTGTGGGCTATTTGGGCCTCACTTATCTTCCCTTATCATTGGTTTATGCCTACTCCTAGGAGTTATGTGAATTTTTATCATGCTATGTTGCAAGTTTTGGGATATATCAGGGTCTACAATACAAGTCAGCACAAAGTAAACATTCCTCACCTTTCTACAACTACCCTGTTATACTGAAAGTCAAAGTTCTTGAAAACAGATGTTTATCTGTTTCTGCTATGTAAACAGAAATTATTTCATATTTCCTTGACTTCATTTTTTCAAACATAGTCTAACAACAAATAGCACTTAAAAATAAAATTACAAATCAACTGGGTTAACACTGGCCTTCCATTTGAATGACAATGGTACTTAAAGGGACAAATATGTACAACTCTGCAGACACATACACACAAACTTTTGTAAACAGAAAATACCTTGTTCAAAGAAAGTCATTTGGATCAGTTAATTTTGCCTTTCAGAATCTTGTTAATGGCCAAATAATATTACAATTTAATCTTTAATTTTGAAATTTGCATTATTTCTCAGTGATTAAGACACTAGTATGCTTAATATTTTAAAAACCCAAAACTTGCCCATCTCACCATATGACAGGTTGCCAGTACAACTGGCTAAAACTTGACATAAAAGTCCAAAGGTAATGTTTATGAATCAAATGTCAATTACAAATTATTTGAAGATTTTGTTAAATATGATGTTCAGGCTGGAAACACTTAAGAAATGAGACATACTGAAAACAACAGCTTTATAAGAGCCCCTTTTATTTTTACCTCGCTTAAGAATTTGTACTCAAACAGTTCACTAAATCAATCACTAATTATTTATTTAAAAGAAACATAGAAAATTGAATGAAAACCATCAATAAACTCATGAGCTAAACAAATGTTTTGATCATTAAGGTTATAAATGTGCAATTTGAAAAATAAACATATACAAATTTCAGTTCAGAACAGAAAATTCCAGCAGGAATCATGCCATCTTTTAAGAAGGAATTTGAAGTGCACAGAATCTTCTAACCACCACATTTTATGATCCTTTAGGTCATGTCCTAGGGTATCTGTAAATTCATACACAATATGTTTTGTGGTATATTGTATTTTTTACGAGCACTAAGTGAATAATTGCCAAATCTGGGGCACCCAGGATAAAATACTCAGTAACCACAAATAATTAATAAAAAAAGAAAGAAAAACTCCTGATGCCCCAGGGCAATTCAGCAGATCCAACATAACTAACCCACAGAAAATTAGGCTACTTGTAGATCTATTGTAGTGCCCACAATGAATATACATTATATATATTTACTTTTTTCGCTATACATTATACTCAGAAGCAAAAAACTAATTACTAAATTTCAAGGACATTCAAACTTTTGTCTTCATATTTTTAATTGATTGGAGCTTCATTTCATTTTCAGGCTTAACAACTGTAGAGTTTCACTATCACTGGGCTGTTATGTTGTTCATATTGGATTTTGTTTAAAATATAATGACAGTTTTTACAATTTAAATCAAAAGAGTACATTCTAACTAATAAACTTTTTTTGCACCTGCTATGCTTCATTTACGATTTAGTTAAAATTAAAAAGTTTACTAGCGGTTTATTACTAATTCCAGGTATTTTGAAGTTCGATCATTCATTCGCTCTGGTGAAATTTGTTTATAATATAAATAATAATATAAAATATATTATAATTATATTTAGAATCTTCGGACCCGACGATTGTTAGAATGGGCTGTAAGTAACAATATAGGCCTAAGTGCAATTTCAACTTGGCTTTCTATATTTTAAAGCAAAATTTGATAATTTTAACAACGCTAACTTATACCAATACTTATAAATAGCATTGCATTTAAATTTTAACTGTTTCAATTTTAAATTTAAGGGTTTGATTTCACTAAAAGTAAAACCAATATTAAAATTCTGAGGTTGATAAAACAACTTAGAGAAGCACATATACACGTTATACAAAGTACAAAATAACACTAACTTAATAGTATTTGACAAGAGTATAATAATAATGCTAACTGTATTGCGAACATTTCCCTAGTTCCCCGACATGAATTAATTGACAACGTTTGATTAATACGTCACCCTTTAAATTCCTTTCCAATTATAAAATGCTGCGCGTAAAAGTGAGACTACTGTTATTTACACACATATTAAAAGTATGAAACGATAGAAAATAAATTATCAGCACTTACTTTAATACAATATAAGCGCTTTCACTTATTAAAGGTTATAATCAAAACGTAAAAATACGAACATTTAAATAGTAGTGAAAATTACAGTAAGTTTGTTTTTTCAATACCAAAAATATTTGTATAACGAGTTATTCTTGGTTTAATGATTTTTTGTAACAAAAAATGTAATGCGCAAACGAATAGATCACGTCACCATATTAATTAATAAAATGGTATTAATGGCATTCATCAATAGTAAAATACATTTTAAAATCTGTTGAAAATCTGTAAAATTTATCATTGAACAGAAAAAGCAGAAGTCTCTCCTTTCATATTTTTCGCTGTCAATACCTTTTATTATATTCGAATGAGGGGGGGGGGGTGCTTTGAGTTTATGGACTAAATAAACAGAGGGATGAAGATCCAGAAACTAGTAAAGCTACAAGCCTTGTAGCTAAAACATAAGTTGTTACAGCCATAAAACAAAAATAAAGCCTCATTAGACGATGGCATACAGGCCATGTTCCTCAAGAAAGGCACTCTTAGTGTTTGATCACGTCACGTACGTACGCAAGGGGGAGGAGGGGTTCCAAACTCCCTATTTATGTGATGTAAACAAATTACACTTATATTGTTATAGCGAAGCTGCTTATGGTGCTGTTACGATAGCGGAGGTCACGTGACTCTAGTAACACGTCATATTCTCGAAGGTTCGTGAATGCTCGAGCGTTTACTAGATTTCGGTATTTTTGTACATATAAGACGGTCAAGACGTGACGGCAGCAATTGGTAATTGAACTGCAGACAGAGAGAGACGTATTGTTGAGTCGAGCATGTGAGTCGTTCG